CAAACATGTCCAAAACTATGTGTTTACAGGCTTAGAATCAGTAAATCTCCAAATGATCAGTTAAATGTATAGCTGTGTGAGTGCTTTATCTGATCTGCACAAATTTTACCCTGCCCAGGAATAGTCTGTGTTTCAAAGGGTTGACTATATCACAAATCAGCCCTCCAGGGTCTAGATGAGTGAGCTGTTACTGTATTTATTATTCCCTACATATATAAGGCATATTTCTCTTTAATCAAGTAGTTTTGAAAACACATCTTTAAGGTCCTGCTAGGAAGTTTTTCCACCTCCTGGCAGAGAGACAGACTAGAAGATACTGGAAGTGATATATTGTGATCAGTGTAAAACAAAGCCATGGATCTTTGGAGGACCATCTAGTTTTAGAGATACCAGAAGCTCGGCAGCCCAGGAGACATCTCTATAATCTTGGCTGTGCAAAACAAAGCTCACAGAGAAATGTCTACCTCTGCCTCTGTAAGAAGCCTGTAGAAAACAATGTTGTTTCTGGGTTGGAAGTTCAGCCTTGTCAGTCATCATCATCAGGTGGTGAGTATAATGTGAAGTAATTTTCTCACATAAAACCAGACAGTTGCAGATGTGCTTTTGCAGTGAACTGTGATTGATCTTGCCAGCCTGGCACCATTCATTCATTCTTCCGGTAACAGCCCTCAGGCCAGGCAGGGGCATGTGATGTAAGGCTAGCCAATCAGAGCAACATACCTGAAAAGGATTCCAGTGATTTGTTCAGCGATAAGTATTCTAACCAATGGAAGCCCCACTGGGATTTTTGTTGGTGCTAACAGTAAATAAGCAGTCTCTTTCTTTTAAACTGGAGAGGCAAGCCTGGCACCGTGGGCCAAATTGCTACTACAAGAGTGAAGCTGATGGAGAGAGACAGAACCCTGGGGACATCATTAAGCACATCAATTCAGCACAGCCATACCAAGACTTTTCAGTTGTATGTGCTAGTAGACACATTCCCTTTGGCTTTTTTTTCTTGCAACAATCTCTTGTGATTGACAGGTTTCTGATAACATATTTTGATAATATGCAGGTCTCAGCTCTGTGCGACCTCATGATAGTTAACCTTCCAGTTGCCCCCAATGAACTTTGCCTCCTGGCATTCACAACCGTGACTAGAACTCCCTTCCAAACTGAATAAGGGCTGGTCTGTGTGACTAGAATACAGCAGATGTAATGGTGTGTGACTTCAAAGGTAAGTCAAAAAACACATTGCAACTTCTGCCTTGGCCACTTGAATCTCATGATGAGGGCAGCCAGCTACAGTGTTGTTAGAACAGCCAGGTAGCCCACATGAAGAAGTCCACACAAGGAGTACTAAAGCCTCCTACTAATAGCCAGCACCAGTTTGCCAGGCGTGTGAGGGAGCTGCCTTGGAAATGGATCCTCCATCCCCAGTCAGGCCTTCAAATGACTGCAGCCCATCTGATAGTTTAACTGCAACCTCATGAGAGACCTGAGCTAGGCACACCCTATCAACCTAATCCAAGATTCCTGAACCACTGTGGGGAACTGTGGGAGATAATAATCATTCTTGTGTTATGCCACCATGTTTTGGAGTAACTGGTAACACAGCATTAGATAACTTACTGATCTTTTCTGCTACTTCTCATCTCCCTCTGGTGACAAAAACAGGATACTTGAATGCACACATTCCAGGCTTTTGTCGCTCAAAGTCTGACTCTGTTTCTGAGAGTCCAGAGAAGGGAAATGATTGTTCTAGTGCATTCCCTCCCTGCCAAGAGCCCTCACCTTCCCTGAGGACCACCATCACTTCTACAAGGTACCGCGGTGGGGGCAGTGCCCCTGCCAAGTGATGCAGCTGTCCTCTGACCCTGAGGCCTCCTCCATAGCTGTCCTGGGTTCTCAAAGCAGATCTCAGGCCTCAGGGACTTCTGTGAGCTCAGGGATCATCATGTCCTCTACAGTGATGGGGCTACTTCTTATTCTGTCCTTGTAATGTCACTTTAACCTTTGACTTGCCTATGAAGTGTGGAATGTATAATTCTGTACATATCTTACAATATCTCAGAAGTCCAGCTTGGCCATAGACTTGTTTTGCAAAGATGGAAATATTCTGTATCTTCACTATTCAGCACAGAAGCCACTGGCAGCACTCGAATGTGACTGGTGTGATAGGAGAACTGAATATTTAATTCCATTTAAGTAGTCACATATGACTAGTGGCTTCTGTATTGGACGGCACAGCTTTAGATGCAGTAGTTGCCAAGCAAAAAACTTTTCAACTTTAGCACAGTTTGCACTAAGATAAATGTGACTTTAGAGCAATGCTTTAATTCTGATTCTTACCCAGTTTTTTTTTTTTGAGGGTGGTTATTTTATTGTTTGCTTAAAAAAAAATTTTTTTTTTAAATTTTGGTATCATTAATCTACAATTACATGAGAAACATTATGTTTACTAGACTCCCCCCTTCACCAAGGCCCCCCCACAAACCCCATTACAGTCACTGTCCGTCAGCATAGTAAGATGCTGTAGAGTCACTACTTGTCTTCTCTGTATTGCACAGCCCTCCCCGTGCCTCCCCCCACATTATACATGCTAATCTTAATTGCCCCTTTCTTCCCCGCCCCTTATCCCTCCCTTCCCATCCATCCTCCCCAGTCCCTTTCCCTTTGCTACCTGTTAGACCATTATTGGGTTCTGTGATTCTGCTGCTGTTTTGTTCCTTCAGTTTTTGCTTTGTTGTTATACTCCACAGATGAGTGAAATCATTTGGTACTTGTCTTTCTCCTCCTGGCTCATTTCACTGAGCATAATACCCTCTAGCTCCATCCATGTTGTTGCAAATGGTAGGATTTGTTTTCTTCTTCTGGCTGAATATCATGCCATTGTGTATATGTACCATGTTTTCTTTATCCGTTCATCTACTGATGGACACTTAGGTTGCTTCCATTTCTTGGCTATTGTAAAAAGTGCTGTGATAAACATAGGGGTGCATCTGTCTTTTTCAAACTGGGCTGCTGCATTCTTAGGGTAAATTCTTAGGAGTGGAATTCCTGGGTCAAATGGTATTTCTATTTTCAGCATTTTGAGGAACCTCCATACTGCTTCCCACAATGGTTGAACTAATTTACATTCCCATCAGCAGTGTAGGAGGGTTCACCTTTCTCCACAACCTCGCCAACATTTGTAGTTGTTTGTCTTTTGGAGATTCTTACCCAGTTTTAATGGAAGTGACTCTTTCAGGTTTTACTTTCAGTGCCTCTTCCCACCTTCCCCTCAGGACTCAGACAGGAGCCCAAGATTGACTAATCCCACCATCCTCCAGACATGCCCACACACAGCTGAATCCCAACGATGAGTGTGGTCCTCTTTCAAATGGATACCCTGCTACAATAGACTGGCCTCTCAGGGTGGGGAAGGGTCTGGAAGGCTGTCTAGTCCAGGCTACCACAGGCCCCTCACAGCTCGTGGTTACATGGCCAGTCACAGAGCAGTCCCAACTTGGAGTATAAAACACGAATGGGTTTTAATTTTTCCAATCACTACTTTCAATTTGATTTACTCCTAACCAAAACAAACAAATAAAAAATGAAAAAAAAGCTCTTCCCTTAGCATACCTTGGGCAGGTTCCATTACTCTCTTGTCACTTTCAATCCAGTTAAAAACCATATTCTCATGTCTAATTCAGAATTCCATGATGGCCTGCTTCTCTCACTTGGTTTTAAGATCTGCTATTGTGGTGGGAAGGGGTAGGGAAGAAGGGACCACACATTTCCATCATGTGGGAGATGTGGCTTTCTAGCTGCTGCTTCTCAGATCTGCCCTGGTGGCACAACACATAGCCTCTTGCTGCTGGGTTCCTTTGCCAGTGGGTAGCCCTCTGGAATGGATCCTGGTGAGACGGGTTCAGACCAGCTATTTCTGCAGGGACAGACCCCCTGCCACTATCTCCTGCCCAGATAGGCAAAGAGGGAGATCAGCAAGCCCACAGCCTAGGCAGATGTCCACCCAGGAAGTGAGATTGATGCGGGGTTCTTGTTCACAGAGCCGAAGAATGAAATTCCCAAACACTCAAGGTAGGAGAGCAAGGCAAGATTTTTAGAGATAAAGCAAGAGGACAGAGCTCCTGGCTCCGGCCAGGAGGGGACAAGAGAGCCCAGGGATGGTGCATTGTCTAGGGGTTTTGTAGGCAGTTGAAAGACAAAGGGCTAGGGATATACACCTGCAAAGTGGTCTCAAATACTTTTGAAGAAACACTAAGTTTCTTATTAGTCTTCCTGGTTATTTACAAGAATTTTATTGTTCTGATTTCCTCCTAGGATAGCAGCTTCCTGGTCTGGGAGCATATCACTCAAGGCTGCCTGCTTTGCTCCCAAGGTGGGCTGAGTTATTGTTTTACTTTTTAACTAATTGGGTTTCAAGATGGAATCCTTCCTGTTTCTTACTAGTTGTTTTGGGCTTGCTTGCTACATTGTCTAAGTTGCAACAAATCATTTGTTAAGGGCTGGAGGAAAAAAAGCATCTGGATAAAGTCAGAAAAATAAACTGGGCCCCCCTCAGTAGGGCAAAGCAAATCTCACAATGGATTATCTTGCTTTGTTTTTTTCCAGAGGGCGTGGTCCCTGTCTGGAGATCACCCTCTCCTCTTGTTGCCCCTCATGTCTTTTGCCTCAGGGAAGGGATGGACAGTGGCATAGGGAGGGAAGCACTTCTCAGCTGTGAACCCTGCCCTAGACTGCTGGCCTAGGTGACTCCCTCTTGCCCTCCCCACACAGGGAGGTGGTGGTGGTGTGGGTGGTGACTGTGGAAGCCTATCTGTTGTCTCTTAGAAAGTACGAGGAGGTGTGGGAGTAGGAGGTGCAGGCAAAGCTAGCTTCTACTTTCTAGTAATTCTCTTTTTTAAGTTTATAAGTAGAGCAATAGTACAATTTGTCAATAAATCCAAATAGTAACTCTCTTTTGAAGGTGAGGCATTCAGCACCTCTTTATTTCCACTGGGACTCTAAATGCCACTTACAGAGTAACAGGGAAATGCCCGTTCTGCCCTCCCCCTTCCCTCTTTGGTTCGGTTTGGGTTGTCTTGAGTAGCAAGTGTGGATCTGCATGGATCTTGGAGTGCCTGATGGTCTCAGGTGAGCTGCTGGCAGAAGGGCTGTGGACAGAAGCTGGCCTTGCTGGGTCATGTCTGACACTCGGAATCTGGACAGGGACCCCAGCACCAGGCAGTAGCTCCCTAGCTTTTCAGACATCACCCTTGTTCCAGTGTTCTCCAGGCAGGCAGGGGCTACCCTGGCCCCTGCAAGGCAATGAAGAAGGCTTCCAGCACACTGGCCTAGGCCGGAGGGGTAAGTCTTTGCTAGTCTCTGTTGACTCATAGGTGAACAGTGAGGAAAATCCCAGCCTACGTCCCTGAATCCTTTGGAAAGGAAGTGCTGTTTCCAAGGTACAGGGTAGCTCAGGGACCAGTGGTGGTCGAATCTTCCTGGTGCAAGCCCTGCAGGGTGGGTCCAAAGCAGAGCTAAATGCTAGGTGCTCTGCGGGGACTGCAGAGTAGATCAGTTCATGGTGCTTTTGGGGGTGAGCAATCCTCCAATGTAACACTCAGTCTCCTGCAGCCTGCACAGGGTATCAGCTGAACTCCGAGCTATGGCCATCCTCAGTGACTTGCATGCTAGGTTCATGTACACAGACACCTGCAGCAGCCACAAGGCTGGGAGTGATAGGTCACGACCCATGCCAGCTTTGATCTGCCTGCCCTCCACCCAAACCATCATCCTGTCCCAGACAGCAAAACCCGCCCCGACCCTACCCAGGAAGAAACAGCTCTTCTGCCTCTTTCTATTTCTCTCTTTACCTCTCTCTCAATTCTTTCTTTTTCTAAACCCAGGGTAATAGGGCCACCTGACTCGCTACCTACCATTCTCAGGGAGACTCACTTCACCAGCGCCAGGGTGGTTATCCTAGTTAGTCTGTATCAGCAAGTATCTGGTAATTCTCACACTAAAGAACAGAAAAGGGAAAAAGAACCAGATTACACCTCCAGGACATGGCTCTGACAGAGTACCTGCTCCTCATGCACACCTGAGTAAGAGAAAGGGAAAAAACGCCGTTGCATGTAAAGCAGTATCCTCAGGTTGACTACTGGCAGTTGTGTCGTGGACTGAGTGAGTCCCTGTTCTCAGTACCATCTATTCTCACACAACTGTGACCTTCAAACAGGCCAAACATTCCTGCGGCCATAGGTAATAGGAATGATTTATATAAGCAACACACCCCACAAAGGGATGTGACTGGATGCTGAAACTTAGTTTATAATATCGAGGGAAAATAACCCAAATGAATTCTTAGAACAAGATACAAAACATGATTGCCTTGTCTCTTTATTTAAAAGAGGATATTGAGCTAAAAGCTAGGTCAGCCATCTTTTTCGACCTCTCTTAGCTGAATTGTTCTTTCCTTGTTGTTTGGCTAACTTCTGGAAGACTTTCTTTTTCCTGGAAAAATATTCTTTTGGTTCTTAAAGATGAGAAGGTTTTACTCATGCACTCCAAGGGACATTTTAATTAGAATTATGGTGGCATTTTAGATAGTTCATTTTCTCACAACAGAACCATGGAACAGTATTGTTCCATTTTATTTATGAGAACACTGAGGCATGGATATTTAAGAAAATTGCTCCAAGGTTATATAATGACTGACTGACCTCAGATTTTATGTCAACATGCTGTCCCAAATATTTAAGCAGTTCTGCCCCTGTTGACACTCTGACTGGCTGAGAATTATTTTCTTTAGTTCTTGATGCCAATTCCTTCACCAATGTTATCATTTTATTTTAAGTTTCCTTGTGGTAGGTTTAGATCAGAAAGTACATTAACTGTCCTGATATTTTTGATAGTGGCTCAAGGAAATATGTAGTCAAATATGGTCAAAAATTTGTCTTCATTTTTAATATATTGATTCAGCATTTATCTTACCAGCAAATCCTATTTCTAATGCTTTTGTTTTGATGAGAGACCTTTCTAGCCCCCCGGAGCAAACATCCGAAAGGGCAATCACTGTGAGTTCCTCGCCACAGAGAATTCCCTTCTCAGCATTTACCTTCTGTACGAATGGATCATCTTTTCTATTCTGTTTTCATGTGTATTATCAACACTTCATCTGTGTGTTCTTGAATTCTTTTCCTATTTGCTTTTGTTTCCCCTAAAGCCACCCAGATTTTTCCTCTTTTTTCTACAGATGCACAGCCAACTGGTGCCCTCTTTATACATACATATATATATATATATTTTTTTTAACATCTTTTCTTTTCCTTTAATCTGTAGTGTGTGTGCACTATACCAGGTTCAGGGGATTGGGGAAATCACATTTTTGTCCTTGGTCACAGTGGCACCCATGTAACACCTCCAGAGAGTAAATGCCTGTGCTCCCCACCCCTGCAAGTTCTCAAACGTTCCGGCTGGCAGCTTAGGTGGGAGCTTGCCATTCTTGGACACAGGAGTTGGTCAAGGGCAGTTATACCCTTGCTTCCTCCTCCCTCTCTTCCAAGGCTTGGGCTGGTCTTGATGCAAGGAGGCTAGGTGGATTCCCTGCAAAGCTTTAGATACCCAGAGCCAAGGAGAACATTACAGTGATTGTGTTCCCAACACAGAAGTGAGGGTGGGAATGTATGATGCAGTTGATTTTTGTGTTTAAGATTTTTAAAAAGGCCTGGAAAGCCCTGAGGGAAAGAACATTTTAGTTCAAATATTAGGAAAAACTTGCTGAGACTTATAGCCATTCCTCTGATGACCTGGGAGCTTACTTCCCTGCCATATTCAAACTGTGATTTTTTTTTTCACAGTGGTACAGCAGCCAAGCAGAAAACGCCATCTGCAGAACAAACTCAGGTCACTCTTTTGGGTTGTCTGTCTTGCTTCTGCACTTTAAGACATTTGTTCTGTAAATATAGCAGACCAGCAACTTGACTGGCCTTTTCCCCACTTTGTGTCAGCCCCAGGCTTCACTGAAATAAGGAAATGGATCCCTTTTTAACCCTTCAGATGGTGCCAGAGCAAATTCCTCAGTGTAGTCATGAGCCAAGGGACAGTGTCTCTGGTGTGGAGATTTCTGGAGGCTGTAATTACTGGATGGCTTGTGCTATTGCAAAGATTCAAGAAAACCATTGTCGTTTTCCCCTCTCTAGCAGGAGAAAGGAAAATCCCAGCCCTCAGAGCACTAGTTCTGGCTTAAGGATACAGGTTTTCCTTCCTGGAAACAGGGGCTGGCTCAGTGAAATGCCCCCAGAGTTGTGCTTTTTGTTGCCAAGATGCCTACTTTTGGCAAGCTTTGGGAAAAGAGGTTGCTGGAGGGAGAGAGTCTGATGTCCTTCGGAATGACACAAAATCTTCATTATTTAATAGCTATTCAGCATCACAGAAATTTTAAGACAAGGCTTAGTTTGACTTCACTAATAGGAGTATTTTCAGAATGATAAACAGAAATCAGATCACATTAAACACTGCATTTCTAAGCTGAGTACAGGCTAGATTGCCTAATAGGCTGAAGAGGGAAACAAAGAAGTTACTTGTGGATTTGCAGTGCTGGGAGGGTGTCTGACGAGTGGCATGTGGACAGGGTGAGCCAATTTCCTGAACCCTCTGGCCCAAGTTCTACCAGCTCCTCAACACCGGGACACCCTGAAGACTCCTCTGTTAAAGGTACCCCATGATGGCAACCACGCAGGCAGCAGTGGCACTGATCCAAATGCAAGGCCCAGACCATGCTGTGACACAGCACTCAGTCCCTTCCAGGCCTGTGCAAAATCATTTTGTATCCAAGAGAGGTTTCATTTCCTGAATGGTCACCTATTGTAGCAATTCTCCACGTGAGGTCTATGGGCCCTTGGGAGCCCAAAACCATGACAGGTGGCCCATGAGTTCAAAACTTGTTATCATGATAATATGAAAATGCTCTTTACCTGTGTTGACCTTTGCACTGATGATGTTCCACATTGCAACTGATCTGGAAGAAATTGCCACTCGTGCAGTTCTGGTCTGATATCAAAGAACATACACAATTATCTGAAAACACTCGTGAAATACAGTTGACCCTTGAATAACATGAGATCGAACTGTGCAGGTCCACTTTATCCATGGATTTTTTTCAATAAATGTATTGGGAAATTTTGGGGAGATTTGCAACAATTTAAGAAAACTTGCAGATGACCTGTGTAGCCTAGAAATATTGGGAAACGATTAAGAAAAAGTTAGGTGTGTCATGAATGCATGATATCTGTTGACACTAAACAATTTTATCACTACTATTAAATGTACACAAATCTATTCTAAAAAGTTAAAATTTATCAAAACTTACCCCAAAGAGGGTACATGGTACCATTTGCAGTCTTAAGAAATGTGAACAAACATAGAGTGTGAAGTCACAGCTGCTTACAACTAACTGTGGTACAGACTGTACTCCTGCAATGATCGCATAGCCGCCTCTTGCTGCTGTTGCAGCGAGCTTGTCCTGAGACAGTTCATCTTGTAAACTGATGACATAAACTTATGGTATCAATAAATACAGTACAGTATTGTAAGTGTATTTTCTCTTATGATTTTCCTAATGACAGTTTCTTTTCTCTAGCTTACTTTATTGTAAGAATGCAATACTTAGTACATGTAACATAAAAAATATGTGCTCATTGACTGTTGATGTTATCAGTAAGGCTTCTGGCCAACAGTAGACTACTAGGAGTTAAGTTTTGGGAGAGTTAAAAACTTATACATGGATTTTTGACTGTGTGGGGTGTCAGTGTCCCTAACCCCTGCATTGTTCAAGGGTCAGCTGTATGCCTCTCATTTCCAGTGGCATATCTGTGTGAAGTCAGATTTTTTTCGTAGACTTCAACTAAAACAACACAGCACAACAGATTGAATGCAGAAGCAAACAGAATCCAGCTGTCTTCCATTAAGCCAGATAGTAAAGAGATTTGCAAAAATATAAAATAAGGTCAGTCTTCTCACGATTTTGTTTTGGAAACTATAGTTATTATTCATGAAAATATATTACTTATGCTAGCATTAAATGGGTTAATCAATGCTATTTTTAAGTGAATTAAACATCTTAAATCTGTCAGTTTTAAATTTTAAGATGTTAAATATTGATACAACCTAAATAAATAAAAGTGCTTTCCTTATGATCCTCAATAATTTTTTTAGAATGAAAGGGCTCTAAAAAGTGGAGAACTGTTGATCTACTGAAACCTCACATAATAAAACTATTCAAACTAGAAAGCGTGGCCCGGTGGAAAGAATATGTACTTTGGAATCCGACAGACTTGGGTTCAAATTCTGACTTTACCACTTAACTTGCTATTTGGCTTAATGATTCAATTGCTCCAAGTTTCAGTTTTCTCATCTGTAACATGGGAATAACACTTGATTTACAGATTGCTTATGGTTTAGGATAATACTTATAATGTATTTAGCATAGTGCCCCACAGTGGGCACTCAAATATTTATTGATTAAATTAATATGGTAAGATGTTCAATATTTCAATGAGTACTTTTGGTTGCAAGGAACAGAAATGGCTTAAATAGTAAAAAAAACGTTCCTTTGCTAACAAGACAGAAGAGCTGGACAGTGTCCTCATATCCAGGTCCTTCCATGTCTCTGCTCTGATCCCTCAGTGCTGGCTTTCATCTGGAGGCAGGCAGCAAGCTGGCAGTGAGACAGGGACCATAGATGTAGTCAGAGCAGGGTGAGGGCCTCCGGAGGGGGCAGGGCGAGGTATTTGCAGTCAGAGCAATATAACTACATGCAAGGAAACCCCCCCCTACTAAAACTCTATGTTAAACATGGAGCTCTAGAATCATTCTTCAGTGAAATCAGTTAATGTTCCCCAGATAAAGAAGAGTCGCACATGTTTTATTATGCTAATCATTTGTAACCATGTGTAAGAGTCACTTTAGCATGCTAAAAGGCCCAGGCCTATGTGCTGTCTTTCCTCCTTCGGATCTGAGGAGGTAATTCTGCAAACTGAGCAACTAACTTAGCAAGCAGACCCAGCTGTAGACGGCATAGTTAAAGGCAGGAAGAATTCCATCTTGAAGATAAAATTGCATTTTAACACCCAGGAAGTTCAAGAGGCAAGATTCTTTAGCAAATAGACAATACCTCGGCCCACCTTGGGAGCTGGGCAAGCAGCCTTTTGATATGCTCCCAGACCAAGGCGCCGGTGTCCCAGAGAGAAATCAAGGCAAGAAATTCCTTACAGTTACGTTAATTTTTAATATTCAAGGACCACTTAACAAGTCCCCACCCCTAAGTTTTTTCATGTTCTCGAAAAATCCTCCAACTTCCTATAAAACCCCCTAGACAATGCACCACTACGGACTCTCTTGTCTCCTCCTGGCATGAGCCAGGAGCTCTGTCCTTTCACTTTCTCTAAATAAAAGCCTGTACCTTGCTCTCCTACCTTGACTGTGAAGCTCATTCTTCGGCTCAGCAAACAAGAACCCCGGCATCAGCAGCAATAGTTCCAAGGCGTCCCATCCAGCCAGGACAATGTCCTGAAGAGGATGGAGGGTTTTTCTCCCCAGGGCTTTCTCTGAGGAAAGGGGAAGCATTTTTCTAGATTGCCCCCAGCATACTTACCCTCCTATTCCATTGACCTGAATTTGGTCTTATGTCCATTCTTGACCCAACCCCTGGGGTGAGATATCACTTTAATCAATCAGACCAACTTCTGGGGCTGGAGGTGGGGTCCAGCTTCCCTGAGGCACAGACTTAGCGGTGAAGGGTTTTTTCCGGAACATAATGGTGGTTTTGTACGGAAGGGAAAAGGGAGAATAGAAGGAACCAGTAGGCAATCACAAGGGGTCCACTACAATCAGTAAATGGAAATCTAGAACAGTGGAACCCAAATGCTGATCAGCAGACCGGCTACATAGGAATGACCTGGGAGCTGGTTAAAAAAATAGCTCAAACTATACTGTGGATGTGAATTACCCTGGGGTCTTGTTAATATGCAAATTATATATTTGTAACAAGCTCTCAGATAACATAGCCACTACTGGTCTATGAACCCCACTTTGATTAGCAAAGACATAGATCTTCCACCCCTAAATTACTGACTCAGAGCCTCCCAGGTGACCCTGGTTTGAGAACTGGGTTCAATGTGGTAGAACATCAACAGTGTACAAGATTGACATTCATTCAGTCAGTCATTCATTCCATAAGCATTCATAGAAACCTATTCCCTGCCAAGCCCTGTACTTACTGCTGAAACTGCAGTCTACACTCTGTTGGGGAGGGAAAGCAGGCAGACCTATAAGCAGATGCCTCTAAGGTAATGTGAGAAATGCTCTCACAAAGCTAAGCACAAAGTGTTCTGGGATCGAAGGGCAAGGAGTGACTCACTGGTGAAGATGGGGTGACAGCTAGGTACAGTTGCATAAAGGAGGACCTTTGAGCTGGGCTTTCTTTGGTTCCCAGAGTGAGACAACATGTGCACATGAAAGCGTGGAAATACAATGAGCAAAGTACATTCCGGTCACAGTGAGAAGGCCTCTGTGTCTTCTGTACAGGCTGAGATGGGGGTGGAGGAAGAAAAGGTCAAAAAGTTTGGCTGGAGCTAGATTATGAGAGGCTTTGCACGCTGCGTTAAATCATTCTCTAGCTATTCTCAAGTCTGCACATTAGAATAACTTGGAGAGGTTTAAGAAGTCCTGATGCCCAGGGCACACCCTGGGTCAATTCAATCATATGCTTTTGGTGGGGGTGGGGCAGGAAAGCAGGTATCAGTACGTTTTAAAGCTAGTGATGCAATGTGGAGCCAAGCTGAGAAGCACAGCTCTGCAGAGCCAGTGCCGGCCCAACCTGTTTGCATAGCTACTGCTCCTCGGTGTGGACAGAGCCCATCTTTCCTAAATGTACTTTTCATTTCAATTTGATATTCAAAATTAGAATCATTAAAAGGCTTTTATGCTGCAAAGACCGTGTGATGGGCATTGGAATAGAGCTCCCCAGCATGAGGGCCAGTGGGGTGCGGGCAGATGAAGCCCGCCCTTTGTTCTCTGGCCTGCATCTGTGAAAGCTGATCCCTGAGAAGCCGCAGCCAGGCAGAGGACACCCTTTTCTCTCACTAGCCTAGACCACGGGGATCTTTGACTAGATAAGTGCAGAGTGTATGCTGCAAGAGCACATTCCCCCTACCACCACCCCGCCACCCTTTTTACTAACTGAATAAGCTACACAGGAACTGGGGCACATTTTTAAGTGATAGGGTGAACAGATGAACTCTCCACATTGCAAATGCTGAGAGAAGTAGATGCTTCACAATATGAGCTGGGAATGCCTACCCTTGGTTTGGATCTCTGTGCTCAGCTGGCTAAAATGTTACAGTTAATAAAAGTTGCCCCTTCTCTCATTTATCACCATTAAAGTCCCTGAAATAATCTTTAAAGGGTCCAAGTGTTGCTACAAAACTTTCATAGTTGTCTCCTCAAGTTGTGGAATTTCTGGCATGTGTTGAGTTTTAAAAAAATATTTTAAAATATTTAAAACTCTTCCATGTGCAAAACATAAACACAAGTGAAAAACAGCACTCCCAACTTGTTTACCATCCGGCTCAATCCCCTAGTTTTTAGTCAATAAAATAGTCAGCTGTCTTTAATGGAAGGGAACAGGCTTGTCCTGTGGGAGACAATGGGGACTGGAGACGGAGGTAGACAAGGTTCCTGGGAAAGCAGGCCTTGCTGTGGGCTGACTTCAGTTTGGCCTTAATGACTATTTTGACTGCGTCTTTTACAATTCCCCACCCAACACACAGGAGGTGAAGTGTTGCTTTATTTTCAGAACTAAACTGTCTTCCATGAACCCGTCAGGGGTCCCCTTTGCTTTACCTTGGAGAGGCCCCCGGATGAGGGAGGCATTCCATTGCCCCTCCATAGCCAACCACACGCCTCGCTGCGTATTTTTCAAATAATTCACCCAGCCTCTTCTCCCTGTGATAGCCCAGGCTTTCCCCACAACAGAAGGATGTGTAATCACCTTGAAAAGAAAATTAAAACAAACACTTATCTGCAGCTCTGACTCAAAGAACTGGCTTCTATGGAAATTATAGGCTTTCATTCTGGCTGTGCAGATGTGACTAGGAATCCCTGCCACAGCAAATGCAGAGAGGGAACTGGCCTCTCTGTGCACAGACGTGCCAGTGTGTGGGTGGCCCTGGGCGAAGCCAGCCCCTCCTGGGTAGGCCTTGGCTGCGTTTGAATCCCTGAGCAGGAGGCCCGCTGATGCCTGACCACTTACCAGGAGAATATGTAATTAGTAAACAAAACCCCAGTAGACCCCCACTACCAGCCTGCCTTCCCACAGCCTCGGTTGAGCCGTGGCCTCCCCAGCCTTGTGGCTGAGGCCGCTCCCACCGGGCTACTGGCTCGCCCCCGGCCCCCCTTGGATACAAACAAGCTGGCCTTTGATGACAGGAAGGGAGTGGAGTTTTAATCTTAGTTCTGGGGGACGTTACCTCCCTCTTTGTGGATCAGCAATTGGTTTCAAAATACTAGGAATCTTTTTTTTTTTTTTTTTTNCCTTACAGGATTATGGTGTCCCATGATTAATTTAACTGAAGCTCTTAAAAAAACAGTAAACGCCGAGTGGCCTTATTAGACCCCATTTTAAAAAGCAGTTTAACACCCTGGGGCAGCAGGTCTGATGAGAAGTGCCACTTATCATGACGCTCATGCACGGTCCCTCTTCACTGATTCTCAGGGCTTTTCAGTCCTGCTGATGAAAATGCACTGGCTCCAAATGAGTCAGATAAAAATTAGGCAGGATGTGAATTTTATCTTTAAAGATTAATTCCAGTTTCTAGTGAAGGAGAAAGAAGAAATAATTCCATCCTAACTAGGAGGGAGACACATAGCCTGTGTTTTAGAGAGAGACGGACAAGGGTTTGGGTTTAAAGTTTAATGAGAAAATGTCTAAAATGAGAACCCAATTTCAAATTTGCTCGCAGCCTGGAGCACTTAATTTTCAGGCCGTTCCCCTCTCTTCTCTCTCCTTGGTCTTCCTCATTCTCTCCGACCCCCGGCTCCCCTACCCCGCCCCCGTTTCTCTCTCCCCGTGAGGACTAGCACAGGCCAAGGAATGAGTCTTTACAAGACACATTAGTACATCTTGGGTGGTGCAGAAGAGCAGGGATTACAAACGCAGGGGACGGGTTGGCAGCAGGACATGCCTCGCCCCGCCTCTGTGGATTCCTCATTCTCCTCCCAGGGGAGCAGACCCGGGTGTCTGCAAGCCCATGTCGCCCGGCAGCCAGAGGTCAGCAAGTGCCCTGGGAGCTGAAGGGTTTTCTGGAAACCTGTCGAAGCTGTGCCTCTGTCGCCGAGGATGTACCAGGATGTGCCAAACTACCATTCTGTCTGACAGTTTTAAAATCGTTCTTTACATGTGCTTTTAATTTTTATTTAATAAAGGATAAATGCTCTATGATTAAAAGCCAGTTGGCAGTTAAAATCAGTTTACTGATGGCTAACAAACACAAGTAAAAGCTGATAAAAATCTTTTTTGAACTCCTCCAGGCCCACAGCTGCTTGTCAGGGATCCCTCCTCTCCTAACCATGTTTTCTCTGAAGCAGCATGTCTCTCACTTTCCCCCAACTTTGTTTTGTCCTAGTAATTCTATCCTGCTTACACAATTGCTCGTCCTTTATCCTTCTGTTTTTGATTACCAACTGGTGTTTATTTGAAATGTAGTTACTGGCCAATTAAATAGAAATTAACTACATTTGGAGACAAGGTCCTCGATAATTGGATTATTGCTTCTTCCTTTGGCCAATATCCATTCTTCTTTAGGCTACTGTGACAGCAGAAATCCCAAAGGTAAAGTCCAGCACCCTCAGCCGAAGGCCCCGTAGGACAACTGCCTGTTAGGGCCAGAGTGGCAGGAAGCAGGGATGGGGTGCTCTCTTCGCTTGTCGCAGTAACTGGAGCTGTTTCCTGTTGCAATTTGGTGAAACCATTTCTGATTCAAGACAGACTCTCCTACCAGACGGTCAGGTTTATCTCACTAAGGAAGGGAAAAAAGAAAACCCATCTTCAGTTTTTCTTTGTTTTTTGGGCCAGCTGGAATGCATCTTCCTTTCTACCCAAACACTGAACACAGCGCGGCTGGGTGAAGAAGAGGCTGGCTCCCTTGCTGGGCTGGGAGGAGCTCAGGGGCTGAAGCCCTTGGCTTCAGGGAGCAGCAGAGCTTGTAGGCTTCCTACTTGTAAATCAAGCCCATTGTGCCAATCACCTAGAAAAATCCGATACACGAATCATTTGTTCTAAAACGAGAATAAAAAACACATCTGTGACACAATTCATTAGTCCAAGCCTTTTTCAGTCTCAACATGTGCTTCTGCAGATTGCATGGATGTTTACACATTCTATGTGTGTGTGTCTCAATTTACGTCGCCTCTCTGCTGGGAAATGTCTTCTGTCTTTGCCTATGGTAAAGCTGCCAATCCTCCAAGGTTCAGCTCAGACCCATCTCCTCCTCTATGAAGACTTTCTCTTGGATGTGAGTCAAGTTCTAGCTCCCTCACTGAGTAACTAATGCAGCACTGGGTTAACCTGCCTAAGTCTTCTAATTTTCATTTCCCTAATACAGAAAATGGGGAATTATTCTTAAGATCAAAAGGGTTTATAAGTGTGAAGAATATTTTAACCTGTACACAGATGTGAGGTACCATTAAAATTCCATTATGACTCCTTGTCATGACTGCATCCTAGCAAACCATTCGGGCATTCATTATATTCGAACATCATTACTTAACTGTTCCTGATACGCCTGCCTGTTTCAAACTCCTAGAAGGTAAATAAGCAAAGAATCATTCAGTATTGTTTCTAATATTTGTTTACAATAGCAAAAAAAGGAAAATTGTCTAAAAGTACAATAATAAGGGATTGGGGTTGCTTAAACAAAGTGTATTACACATTCATTCGACAGAATGCACTTTGGCCATTAAAATGAAAGGGAAGGGCTTTTGCTCTGTGATCTAGAGAGCAGCTAGAAGAAGCATCAGGCTCCCCTTTATAATGAAAGCAACTGGATTAACTCAAACCCATGTTTGTTTGTTTTAACCTTTCAAAGCAGAGAACAGGCCTAAAACCTAAGAAGCAATAATGTCTGTGGAGAGGAAGGGGATTCAAAGTACTCACTTGGGGAAGATGCCACTGGACATCAGTAAGAGTCCAACAAAAATAGTTGCTAAATTGTTGAAGACCAACTATGGGGCTGGCAGGCAAGTGGGAGCACCTAGGGGGACCACAAAATTTGGAGAGTCTGCACTTCTTTCAGGCATTTTTTCCAC